GAGAGAGAGAGAGAGAGAGAGAGAGAGAGAGAGAGAGAGAGAGATTTGCAAAACCAGTCTACCTGTGGTTGGAGAGGTGCCTGGAAATTGATAATCTTTCGTGAAGGAGGCAACGGCCTCATCGAGCTGATATTCGTCATCGAATTTTCGAGAAGGATCCAAGGTTCCGAAACACATGGACAAAGTACAGGAGTAAATGAAAGCCAGAGGACAATACCTGCCTGATGAATGGGTAAGTGGTACAGACAAGTAAGTTGCAGCTGTTGATTAACAGATCAAGAATTGCAATTCTGATGGATAGAGTGATGCTCGGGACTGGGGCTACCCCGCTTTGTCTAAGGAGGAACGAACTAGAAGAAACTGGGCTTGGGGGCAAGAAATGTGGGTGGAGTAGATACCGAAGGGGTGTACTCGGGGTAAAATTCCACGAGGAGAGTAAGTTTGGATACGAGAAAAGTCATTGCCAGCCGTCCAGGTGGGGGATCTGGACGGTTGACAATTTATTGGCCTCGTTGACCGATTGGTTCTATGATCGCGCTGCGACTTATCCACTAATTAGCAATTTCGAAAGAAGAGTCGAGGAAGCTCGGCGGTGAGAATCAGGTCTGCTTAGTCCTTTCTAGTTCAGTAGATGTGGCCGGTGGACATGCTCAATGCTCATTCTCCTGCCCGTCAGTTGGAAGTTCTAACTCAATGGTCACGCTCGACGGCAGTAGCCGATGCGGTTTGGGAAGCGTGGGCGGCCACCAGGGCGGAGAAAAATGTGCATGCGTGCTTGTGTGTGTGTGTGCGTGTGTGTGTGTGTGTGTGTGTGTGTGTGTGTGTGTGTGTGTGTGTGTGTGTGTGTGTGTGTGTGCATGCCGAGTGTGTGTTGATTGGTTCTATGATCGTGCTGCGACTTATCCACTAATTAGCAATTTCGAAAAATAGAAGAGTCGAGGAAGCTCGGTGGTGAGAATCAGGTTTGCTTAGTCCTTTCTAGTTCAGTAGATGTGGGCGGTGGACATGCTCAATGCTCATTCTCCTGGCCGTCAGTTGGAAGTTCTAACTCAATGGTCACGCTCGACGGCAGTAGCCGATGCGTTTTGGGAAGCGCCGGCAGCCACCAGGGCGGAGAAAAATGTGCATGCGTGCTTGTGTGTGTGTGTGTGTGTGTGTGTGTGTGTGTGTGTGTGCATGCCGGGTGTGTGTTGTGTTTGTGCGTGTGTGTGC